TATTGGTTTTTCGTATAAAAAACAGAACAAAAAAAATTTTTTTAGAAGGATACGACATAATTTTAAAACGGATAAGTTTTTTGAGAGAAGCAAAAAATATTGATAACTGGGATAACATCGTATTCATTGACGAGACATGGCTAAACGCAAATCACACGGTTTCCCGTTCTTCGACGGATGATACACAAGCGTCGACGTCGAAAGTACCAATGGTTAAGGGGGCCCGTCTGATAATATGCCACGCAGGTTTTGTAAAATACGGCTTTGTGGAGAACGCGTTACTGGCATTTCAATCAAAAACCACAAATGACTACTACGTGGAAATGAATGCCACTACATTTAAAGAGTGGTTGCAGAACGTGCTTTTGCCCAGCCTACCAGAGCCTTCTGTAATATTCATGGATAATGCCTCCTATCACTCGGTTCAAATACAGAAACCACCTACCCAAGCTAATAAAAAAGAAGAAATGGTGGCTTGGTTACAAGCAAAAGGCATTGACGCAAATATGCAGATGCTAAAACCAGAGCTAATTAAATTAGTTAAAGAAAATAAAGCGGCAAATGTGCGATACGAAATCGATGAACTGGCTCTGGAGTACGGTTATCGCGTTCTAAGAATTCCACCGTATCATTGCCAATATAACGCGATTGAGCTAATCTGGGCTCAAATAAAAGGTTACGCCGCCCGCTACAATACTTCCCCGCCATTCAGCACGAAAAAGATGATGACCCTATTAAAAGAAGCCTGCGGGGAAGTCACAAGAGATGACTGGGCAAAGGTTGTTGAGAAGACTAAAAACCTGATTATGAAACATTTTGACCAAGATATCAGGTTTGATTCTGTTATTGATAATAATATAATTATACATGTAGGCCAAGATGATGATGAAGACACCACCTCCTCAATCGAATCGGAGTCTGATTAATATTCTGTACGCACATTCAATTCAATGTACTTTATTGCATAGAAATACAGATTGTAACTTTGTAACAAAGAATAAATAAAACAATTTTATTATATTAATATTAACTTTTTTTGGTTTCCACTTAAATTACTAAAATATAAATTTTATATGATTCCGCCAATTTAAAACGAAAATAATCTTAAAAATAACGCGGCGGTTCATTTTGGAGGAACGGTAACGAACTCAGTGTTATGTTGTGCCCATCACTAGTCGTGGCTAACTGATAGATGTCAGGAACGCATTCTCTGAACGGCCGAACTTTCAATTAGGCCGAAATTTGAAATTTTCAATTTATTTTCTTAATTGTTGCATATCCGACATGGGTAGAGTCTGTTGAGCCTAAAATTACATTTTTTTGTACTATGATCATATCGAATTGGCGATAAAGATAAAGATACACTATGCAATAAATGTATCTTTATCTTTATCCCCAATACAATACTGACTCGGTCGCGGTATTAACCGGCCTTATATTGTGCCTGTTATACTGAATCATCTAGAATGTTCGAGTACATACTGGTTCCGACCGACTAGGTGTAGAAAGTTCGAGTACGGAATTTTCAATAACGAAAATTAAATAATAATGAAAAAATCGCTGACCGTAACAAAGATAAATGCAAGTCTCTACAGCAGAAATACCGAGAAAAATCGTTAATTATCTTTACTTTACGTCGTTACGTTAATGAAAAACGAATTGTACGATGTTATGTTACGCGGGGCTCCTATTTATCGGTGGTTTGTAATAAAATAACCACGAGGGTGTTAATAGTTCAGTACACATTTTTATATTTTTTACTTCTGTGGTAAATTCACCTACATCAACGCATGATATAGATACTGGTGGGACCAAAGAGCGCTCAGTACTATTAATCATACAGCTTTTCATACTTGACTTTCAACCATTTTCAATAGTAGAAGACGTTGGCTTTATCCAATACTCAAATGCTTTAAATTCGTCATACACGCTTCCATCTCGAAAATATCTATCAAATACACTTTTATCAACAATGTACGAACAGTGTATCGTGTGAGTCTCCAGACAGGTATTTTCCCTGATCTGTTTAAAAAGGCAATAGTTCACCCTATTTTTAAATCCGGCGACCGAAATCGTATCGAAAACTACAGACCTATATCAGTTTTGCCTACGATGTCGAAGATCCTCGAGAAAATAATTAACACAAGGCTTGTTAATTATTTAGAGACTAATAAACTGCTCTCTAAAAATCAATTTGGTTTTCGAAAAAAGTTGTGCACATCTGATGCTGTCCACAGCCTTATTGAGTTTGTAATCAGGAATCTAGACATACGTCAAAAATGTATTGCCTTGTTTCTTGACCTTACAAAGGCGTTTGATACTATTTCGATACCCATCCTAATTTCAAAACTTCAATCTTTAGGAGTAAGAGGAATTCAGGAATTCAGCACGCACGCACGCACGCACGCACGCACGCACGCACGCACGCGCACGCACGCACGCACGCACGCACGCACGCACGCACGCACGCACGCACGCACGCACGCACGCACGCACGCACGCACGCACGCACGCACGCACGCACGCACGCACGCACGCACGCACGCACGCACGCACGCACGCACGCACGCACGCACGCACGCACGCACGCACGCACGCACGCACGCACGCACGCACGCACGCACGCACGCACGCACGCACGCACGCACGCACGCACGCACGCACGCACGCACGCACGCACGCACGCACGCACGCACGCACGCACGCACGCACGCACGCACGCACGCACGCACGCACGCACGCACGCACGCACGCACGCACGCACGCACGCACGCACGCACGCACGCACGCACGCACGCACGCACGCACGCACGCACGCACGCACGCACGCACGCACGCACGCACGCACGCACACGCAGCACCACGCGCACGCACGCACGCAGCAGCACGCACGCACGCACGCACGCACGCACGCACGCAGCACGCACGCACGCACGCACGCACGCACGCACGCACGCACGCACGCACCGCCGCAGCACGCACGCAACGCACGCAGCACGCACGCACGCAGCGGCACGCGGCAGAATAATCACACACACACACACACACACACACACACACACACACACACACACACACACACACACACACACACACACACACACACACACACACACACACACACACACACACACACACACACACACACACACACACACACACACACACACACACACACACACACACACACACACACACACACACACACACACACACACACACACACACACACACACACACACACACACACACACACACACACACACACACACACACACACACACACACACACACACACACACACACACACACACACACACACACACACACACACACACACACACACACACACACACACACACACACACACACACACACACACACACACACACACACACACACACACACACACACACACACACACACACACACACACACACACACACACACACACACTCACACACACACACACACACACACACACACACACACACACACACACACACACACACACACACACACACACACACACACACACACACACACACACACACACACACACACACACACACACACACACACACACACACACACACACACACACACACACACACACACACACACACACACACACACACACACACACACACACACACACACACACACACACACACACACACACACACACACACACACACACACACACACACACACACACACACACACACACACACACACACACACACACACACACACACACACACACACACACACACACACACACACACACACACACACACACACACACACACACACACACACACACACACACACACACACACACACACACACACACACACACACACACACACACACACACACACACACACACACACACACACACACACACACACACACACACACACACACACACACACACACACACACACACACACACACACACACACACACACACACACACACACACACACACACACACACACACACACACACACACACACACACACACACACACACACACACACACACACACACACACACACACACACACACACACACACACACACACACACACACACACACACACACACACACACACACACACACACACACACACACACACACACACACACACACACACACACACACACACACACACACACACACACACACACACACACACACACACACACACACACACACACACACACACACACACACACACACACACACACACACACACACACACACACACACACACACACACACACACACACACACACACACACACACACACACACACACACACACACACACACACACACACACACACACACACACACACACACACACACACACACACACACACACACACACACACACACACACACACACACACACACACACACACACACACACACACACACACACACACACACACACACACACACACACACACACACACACACACACACACACACACACACACACACACACACACACACACACACACACACACACACACACACACACACACACACACACACACACACACACACACACACACACACACACACACACACACACACACACACACACACACACACACACACACACACACACACACACACACACACACACACACACACACACACACACACACACACACACACACACACACACACACACACACACACACACACACTTTTCTAAGTTTTCTCAACCATAACCAATTATCTCAATTAGGTATGACAAAAAAGTAAATAGAGTTAAACTTTATGTGTTAATGTTTTAGATATAATAGCATTCCTCGCAGAGGTGGGGACCTGGTGACCTGTAATATGGGTATCTTACCCACCATAGGCACCAGCGATCCACGGGCAAAGTTGTTTTGTACTCCTTATAGGCTACTTATAACTCTAAATGTAACTTTGTTTTGTGGTGAGAAATAAACGTTATTATTATTATATTATTATTAGTGTAGAACAGAGGTGCAAGAAGTAATAAATAAAGAAGTCGAAACAATCTGCATTACGACTGACAATTGGACTTCGGCGAGAAATGATAGTTTTATGGCTGTTACTGGGCATTTTATAAATAAAAATTTTGATTTGGAATCGATTGTTTTGGACTGTGAAGTAATTTCGGGTCCTTCCAATAGTGAAAATACAGCATCTCAGTTAAAAAGTATTACCGATTCTTGGGGTATTTCAGCTAAAATCAATTTAGCTGTTTCTGATAACGCGGCTTACATCAAGAAAGCCATATCACAGGAGCTAGGGTGGAAACAATTCGGATGTGCAGCACACAAAATAAATTTGATAGTGCAAGAAGCGACGGAAAAATCTGTACCCATCAAGTCTGTGATTGAACGTGTGAAGCTCGTCGTCGCTTATTTCAAGCGAAGCACTAAAGCCACTCAAAAACTTGATGAGTTTCAAAAGCAGAAATGGAGCAACACAGCCAAAATGACTGCTTCAAGAAGTCCCGACAAGGTGGAATTCCAAATTCTACATGCTCGAAAGGATCGTAGAAATTCAAGATGCCGTCAAGTCATCCATTGCCATTTTGGGTGTTACAAGCTTAACAAATTTAATGCCGGAAGACTGGTTACTTTGCAACGAAACTTGTAAAGCCCTGAAATGTTTTGAAGAAGCATCAAATTATCTGAGTGGTGAAAAGTATTTGACGGCCAGTCAACTATTAATAATCATAAAAGACATAAAGAGAGTTCTCAGCGATATTTTAAGCTCGGATTCTTCCGGTTATCACTATCTGCCAATAACATATGATTTTGTTCGAGCTTTGTTAGATTTAACTCATAGTCGTTTCGAAAATATAGAAAATAATAACACGATTGGGGTAGCTACTTTTTTGGATCCCCGCTTTAAGTTACAGCCCTTTACATCTTCAAAGCAAGCAACTTTGAGGGAGAACATGATCAAACTTGTCGCTCAAGAAATAAATCGAGAAGGACCGTGTGAAAATATTGAAGTTAGCAAAAGTTCGTTTGATCAGACCTCAATATTTTACGACTGGGATGCTAGGGAGGCTGTACCACAATCAATTGTGTCACCAACTGCTCGAGCAATAATAGAAATAGACAAATATTTGAATGAAAAAGTGATTAGTTGCTATAATTTACCGTTGAGCTGGTGGAAGCATAACCAAGACATTTTTCCACATTTGGATAAGTTGGTTCGAAACAAATGTAATGCACTTTGTACTTCTGTTTCTTGCGAAAGACTTTTTTCGCGAACTGGTTACATAATTTCACAACGAAGAACTCGCCTTGGAGTCCGAAAAGTCAAACAATTATCATTTTTAAATGGAAATAAAAAGTATATAAAATTTTAAGATATGTTATGTTACTAAGTGATAAGTAGATATAAGAAAAAAAATATTAAACAAAAACAAGAAAAAAAGATAATTATATAAAAATTACGAATACTAAAAAAGCAGATATGAAAAAAAGAAATCGCTGTAAATAAATTGATTCTCATTATAAATACGCCAACAGAAAAAGTTGACAGTCCTAAGCCTGTGAAAAGTATGAAGGAAATGAGAATTATGTGTTAAAAATCTGTCTGTGACTAAATTTAATAGTTGCTAAAAATAACTGCTAATTTTAACTGTTAATTATTTCTAGCAGCATTTAGCAGAGTTATTATTTTTTAACGTTTAAGCCCATCTCTGATGCCCAGCAGCCCCGCACTTTGATATTGCGACTGGCGACTAGGAGTGGTCGTTACAAAACGTAACTAGTTTTTTTTTATTTAAATAAAAAACCAACAGCGATTTAACAATTTTAAGGACTTAAAGTATACAGCTTAAATGTAAGGCCTATTAAAAGTTTTTTCAGTTATATAAACAAAATATATTATGGACGGTACAAAATATATTTCGATTTATTATAATATGTATGTACTAATCCAATTATATATATATATATATATATATATATATATATATATATATATATTATATATATATATATATATATGTTTATGTAACTACACTTTTGTATATGTGTATGTAGAAGTAATATTTGTTTTATTTATTTCTCTGCGAAACTTTTACATGCAGCCAGTGCAGAACATTCTTTTATGTAATTTAATTTAATGAAATATGAAATATCACACCTGTTTATTTATTTATTTTTCTAAACCGTTACACTTATGTCAGATTTACACTCAAAAATCAAGTAAGAAATGATTATACTAAATGATGCAAAGTATGAATTCATTTTCATATTATAATAGAGTTAATTTATGTTCATTACTATTTATTTATTTTTGTGTAGGGAGTCCTACTAGATGGAGTAACGACCTGGTAAGACATATAGGAAGTCGACGGACGCATGCGGCTCAGAATCGTACCTTGTGGCATTCCCTGGGGGAGGTCCACGTTCAGCAGTGGACTTATGAAGGGATGTAATGATGATCATCATGATTAAGCAAATCAAAATGATTTACTCGTTTTGCACCTCATTTAGAATTTTAAGAGCTTTAGCTTTAAAGGCTGGTTTACTAAAAACAAAGAGATCTATATCACTAAAGATCTCATTGTATGTCCTGAGCATTCGGTTTATAGGCGCATTACGTGCATAATTGGTGTCAGCAAACGGCACATGCAATAAAGGGGTGCGGCCGACGGCGAACACGACGCGACGGTACTTTGTATGTTATGCTCGCCACCAACTCAGGGCAGTCTACCTGTCCACGGACAATATCATACAAAAAACATACGTCCATTAATTTACGTGTGTTTTCGAGTGTCAATAAATTATAAGATTGACAAGTATTTTAATAGGTTACAAGTGGTGATTTGAAAAAACGATAATTTATATAATTGATGAATTTTTCCTGTATGCGTTCTATACGATTTTTGTAAGTAGCGTATTGGGGAGACCAAATTGGACTGGCATATTCTAATATACTGCGAACATAAGCATTATACATAATTTCAAGGGTATTAATATCTTTAAAAGGCTTGCAAGTTCTCATCACAAATCCAAGATTTTTAAAAGCCTTGTCAAAATGAACTCCTAAATCTCTAACAGTAGATGTTCTTTGTATTGGAATACCGTTAAAATTGTAGGAGAATGAAATAGGGTTTTTTTTACGTGTGAAGCTAATACATTCGCATTTATCAATATTAATTGTTATGTTGTTAGCAGTATAATAAGCTGATAAAGCGGTTAAATCAGTTTGCATTTGATGACAGTCCTGCTCAGTACGGATATTGTAAAAAATTTTTTTGTCATCGGCGTACATTAAATGTTGTGAAAACTTAAAACAAGTAGTAATATCGTGAATATAAGCGTTATACAGTAAAGGTCCCAGATGTGATCCTTGAGGAATGCCTGTTGGTATTTTGATAAAGTCCGATCTATATCCACCTATTACAACAGCCTGGGATCTGTTACTCAAATAGGATTTTATCCACCTGAGTAAATCTCCATGTATGCCTAACAATTGTAGTTTATTCAGTAAAATGACATGGTCCACACGGTCGAAAGCTTTTTCGAAGTCCGTGTAGACCACATCTACCTGACCGCCTCCATCCATATTAGACAAAACATAGTTAGAAAAGCACGCCAGATTAGTGATAGTAGAATGATACCTTAGAAACCCGTGTTGAGTTTTTGGCAGTCCCTTACATATTACGGGATATATAACATCATAAATGGTTTTCTCAAAAACTTTTCCAATAGTATTTAAAATTGAAATGCCCCTATAATTTTCAATTTTAGTTTTAGTTCCCTTTTTATGTACAGGAACAATGTGTGCTCTTTTCCATATATCCGGAAATACACCCTCGCTAAGAGACATATTAAAAATGATAGCGATAGGGACACACAAAGTTTTAGCACAGTTACGCCAAAATAAAGGGGGAATGCCGTCACATCCTGCTCCTTTAGAAATATCAAGTAGTCTAAGTCTTTTCTCAATAGTGGATGTAGGGATAAACAGTTTAGATATATTATCATATGTAGAAGTGTCATTGCTTTCTTCTAATATTTTATCAGAAGGGTCACCGAAAACGTTTTTGAAAAAAGTATTAAAAGTATCACATATTTCTTTACCACCCATTACTTTATTGCCGAGGTATGATAATTGCTTTGGATAATTCGATCCACCACGCAAAGACTTAACGTATGACCAGAATAACCTCGGTTTGTATTTAATGGCTTCCTCGGTACGTTGAATATATATAGCAAAGCAAGCATCCTGAACCCGATTTTGTCGTTTACGTAATAATGAAAACTCGTCATAATCTAATAAATTGCCAGACCGTTTCCATTTTTTGTGTGCTTTTGATTTTTCTTTAATTATTTTTATTAAAGCGGGACTGTACCAGATAGGGTATTTATATTTATTATGATAGGACTTAAGTGGTACGTGTTGGCATATAGCATCATTTATTATATTATAAAAGTTATCACAAGCCTCTTGGACCGTACTAGATTGTAATTGTGTTCGCCAATCGTTGCTATTTATAGTTTCATTTAGTTTATCATAATTGGTTTTATTGAAATCATATTTAGGCTTAGATGCTTCAGTAAACGGTGTGATTGAGACGTCTAAAATTTCCAGTACTAACGGAAGATGGGCGCGGTCAACCTTTATACGGGGCGAGTTGCAAATTGCGACTTCAAGTGGAAGATTTGAAAATGTCAAATCTAAAGTATTACCGGCATAATTTTTAAAACCCGAGAAAGCTCAGTTCATCTGTTAACCTTACACCAGCACTTTTAATTTCAGCATTGCCTTTATTTAAATGTGTTGGGCCCTGAGTACTCCATGAGATGCATGGAAGATTAAAATCACCGATAACTAAAATATTTTTACCAGTACTATTTGAGATTACCACAGATTTTAGTGTTTGCAGTAAGTAATCTATTTCATCTGGCATATGTGAAACATTAGGAGGGATGTAAATCGCAATAATGTACAAATCTGCAGTGGCAGAAATTGCATGTGCCGGTACTAACAGCATTAACATATCAGGCGGTGAGCAGTTATTCAGACAGTCCGTGACTAAGGGAGTTGCACATAACTCATTACGCACTAAGATCATGACCCCATGACCATGAGTTACTGAAACTATCTATTCACACAATAGCGGTTAGCGGGTTATTGCAGTGCAACGAAACTATCTATTACAGTAGACGTTTTCTCAGTAACACGATTCACGTTTCACGAAACACGAACGAGCGATCAGTAACATTATTGTTATCAAAACGTTTATTCGGCTATTTTCGCGACGCACCGGCGACGGCTTCGGCTGTTGAAGTAGAAGCATATGAGTAAAGAAACCGACTCTTTACGCTGTGGTAGAAGTACCAACGGTCGTCAAATCTCGAATGTCGAGTGAGCGCGGGTGCTTTTGCATTTGACCTATGACTCTATTCCCTTCGTATAAACGCGATATTAGAAATGAGAAAGTAAGTGTGCATGTTTTTAACAAAAAATTGTTCAAATTCCATAATTTAGGTGGCCTTGGCCCGGTTTAAATTAGTCTTGTGTTTAAGTTTAATGACACGGTTTGTTTTTACTTTTTAGGCGCGTTTATTAATATTTTTGTTTTCTTTTTGTGAAATAATAACAATATTTTAGTAAAATAAGAACTAAATACAATTGTATATATTAGTGTTAATAATAATAATTTTACAGTAATTAGTGTAAGTAACTAAAAGTAAAAATAATACTAAAATTTTATGTGATATTTATCAAAAATGTCTCGAAATAATGCCAGTGTACTTTGGGACATTTTTACAAAAGAGTATCTTTTGTACCATGAAGACCAATATTCTATAAAAACATCAATACATGTGTATTCATATGATTTATTACATAAAAATTTAGGCTTGAGATGGCTAAAAATAAGCATTGTAATAATTATTTGCTATAAAATCAAAGTTATATTCAATATTTTATGCTGAACTGGGTGCATAATCATAATTATTAAATAAATCGTTTGCCATTAAATCTTTTCAAGTGATATTTTTATCAAACCGTGCGAAATGATTTAACAAATAAATAAATTTAACCATTAACACCATGTCTAATTCTATACGAAACAATTCATTCGCAACGTTTTTCAATTAAACACGCCGTGAAACACGCTATTGAAGTCGCTATTAAAGTTGTTAAAATAGAGTGTTTCAAAACCCTCTATTAAAATAGAGTGTTTCAAAAGCCGCTATTGATATTCGATAGATAGTTTAGTTACTGTTATACTGAATCATCTAGAATGTTCGAGTACATACTGGTTCCAACCGACTAGGTGTAGAAACTTCGAGTACGGAATTTTCTAGGAAGCTCTCCTTGTTCTGCTACTCGATTCTAGATGGCACTAGTGGTAACTCGCCATGTACCAGGCATTAATTATCGCGCACAACATTAAGATCAAATATTTGTTATATTATATCTTTTTTATTATATCTTTAATGGCTAGTGGCAGATAATGAAATTCTTATATCAAAAGAGGGTCCATTAAATGTGGAGATAGCGACGACGTGGGGCACCAACAAGCGAAGGTTTTCAGTCCGGGAGCAGTCACATCAAGCGATCGAAGCACATAATAGATTGTAAGTTGATCATAATTCTTGCCTGTTGGGTAAACTGCTAATGCTGGTTATCATAATGATTTCTTATATTTACGCGAATACTACACATTAAATGAAGATAGGACATAAAAGAGGAATGCCCACTCTTCATAGACATTTCGGCCATGGGTGCCCACATATAAAAGCATATAGATATGATAATATACAATTAAGGGAATGAAATGGTTAAGAAATTGGTTTAAAAAAAGTCGGGAATTTTAAGATATAAAAGTTTTTATTTTCACAAATACAGTTTTTTAACAACTAATTTTACAGATGTTATCGCATTTAATTTCTTTGATTTTTTAATTCCCGACTTTCGGGTGCTTTCCAGCACACATGGTCATGGGGGATTGAGGTGACTGGTGTACCGAAATCAGTGTTAACTTGGAGTAACTTCAGCTTTTTAATAACTATTTATGGTCCGATCTACGCAGAATGAACTTACTGTCCTGAAGTCTTGCGTGGTATGCTTGGGTTTAGTTTTAATTTTATTAATTACAGTGTCCCAAGCAGGTGGGAATACCCAGCTTCATTCTCTATTGAAATTAGAATGTTTGAATCTGGGTGCAATACATTACCGACTTCAGATTGCAACGAGGATGAACTAGATGATTCAGATGGTTCCCGTTCTGCAGTTGAATGTGATGCTGCTCTATCAAACCTTCGCCAACAATTATGACACACACGAGATGACTTTGGCAACTGAAATAATATTAAATAAAAAGGTGAAAAAGTGAACTAAATAAAAATAAAATAGATTTGTTTCCTTTAAACTCAAATACATATAAAATATTTATCAAGTTAATTGTTACTGCACAAAAGCAGACTTAATGGCCTATATTATTTAATAATTAAGCACTTAAAAACTACCAGTAGTCCAAAAACAATGAAAAATCAATTGTCTCATTACTTGGTAGTTGGTAAAAACGGTAGCAGTCTATCTGGTGGTGACAAGCTAATCTTATCGCCATGTTATAAATAAGCTTGTATGTTTGTCAGATATAGTTTGTGTGGATGTAATCAGAGTAAAAACATGTATCACTATCAGATATGAGCACACACACTTAATAAATTAAAAAACACATACCTCACGTGGTGCAATTTGATGGGCAATTTCATTCCTTATGAGTTCCTCACGTGGAGAATCAGACCCAAACAATGTGTGTGATCTTATTCTCAAAAGTGACTTGCCACAGCTGATACATACATGTCCATGACTATTAATTGGTGAATTTTCCTGTTCGCTAGTTGGATGTTGTTGGCGACGCGCCTATAAAAATGTTTCAGTTTATTAAATCAACCGATGACGTTGCTATGAAAAAAGGGGCAGTCACGAGCAACGACGCTCTGATAAGAGAATGCTTAGTTAAATCTTTAAGAAATGTCGAATTAATGATATGAAGGTCTTGGGTTCGACTCCCAGGCCGGACTAGTTTGTTTGTTTTCCTAAGTAATATCGCTTAATAAATTCGTAAGGAATTTAAGATATAAATTATGTTACCGGATTTGTTCCCCGGTTGAAATCATCTTTCAAATGATGTAAATTCATAAGAATATTAAAGTGAAGTTAAAGATCGGATTTGTTCCCCGGTCGAGATAATCACTCTGTGCATAGGCAGAATTAATGGATATTAATTGCATAAATGTTGTTTTGTATAAGTTTGATACGTTTTGTACGAAAACAAATGCCTATTTGTTATGATTGATTAATGAGAACATTCATTTATATTGTTATCTGATTAAAGATAGTTTCATACAGTTCGAAAATTGTATAAAAGCATTTAATTTGCCTAATATGGTGAAAATTGGTGTATTTCATAATTTAATTTTTTCTGATAGCCGAGAGCCGTGCAAATTTAGTTGTTCACATAGTGTGAGTTCATAGACGCACGCTAAGCCACGCCCTTAGGAGGCCGAATATGTAAAAATTTAAAATGTTTGTAATTCAGTGATTTATGTAAAAATTACTTGTAAAATATTTCAGGTTAATTGTACGTGCTAAAAAGGTAAATTCTGTGTTATTTTCATGTGAAAATTCCTGTGTATAAGTGAAATAATGATAGTTTTGTATAAGAAATTTAAAAGTGTTTTAAATAGTGAAATAAATAGAAAAAATGTAAATTAAACTATCGTATTGGTTAGCTTATGTATAAATTCAAGTGAGAAACATTGTTTTAACTTTCTGTGTTAAATATTTAAGAAATTTCGATTTCGAACTTGGGAGTAAAATAGGCAGTTTTCGTTTAATAAATAAAAGGTTTTTTATGATATGAAGATATGATATATATCATGGTGTAGATATTGTTTTGTACTACCTATATTGATAAATTGTATTTGTATATGATTTGAATAAATAAAGATATTGAGTGAAACGTGAGAGAGTAATAGTACAAATTCATGTAATTAAGTTGCGCAAGCGCGCAGATGGCGCGGCTCACTTTCGCGTATAGCTCTGGGGTAGCTTAGTGAACGGGTTTTATTGCAATTCGTTCGGGAATCCTTCGAGATAGTTCGGGAATCCTTCGGGGAAGTTCGGAAATAGTTCGGAAATAAATAAGAAAATCCGGGAAAAAGTTCAAGAAAAGTGAAAAACCAGCAGTATAGGGAAAAGTGATTACTCTCTCACGGAACGGTTTGAAGATAATTGCTGTTTCATTCCCAAGATCCTTTAAGTTATACAGTCCACATCGAAGAATTAAGGCGTCGGGACCGGGACGACTTCGGAAGACCCGTAATCCCCGTCTGAACCTACTTGCTGAAAAGGAAGAGGTTATCGCCCTAGTGTGTTACTCCGTTGCGGAGATCACATACGTTGTTCCCGAACCCAACGTAGGCGTGATAGGAGGCCGGATCGAGAGAAGCCTCGATTCCTGTTTCTTAGTACCCGATCCGCTAGGTCCTTTTCAATTGGTCCTTTTCAGGATCAAGAGGGACACCGACCTGGTCCTTTTCAATTGGTCCTTTGCGGCCGATTGAGAGGACGCCCGAACCTGAGTTCCTTTTCAATTGGTCCTTCGAGCCGGATCGAAGACCACCCGAACCCCGCCAGCTGGATCAAGGAACCAGCTGTGGACTGCTGGTTGTGGAAGAAGAAGACCTTCGGAAGCCGAGTGAAGATCAGCAACCGAAGGAAGCCAGAGGTTTGAGCTGAAGCAATAGGACCAAAGGCCTGAAGACCAGGACGGCAGCACTGAAGGGCTGGACCTGGAACTACCGGAAGAAAGAAAACCGGGATTGCAGCTTGGGGCGTGTGCTCGCATGGGGCACATATCGCAGCCGGGCGCAGGTGTCTTGTGAAGGCACTCATCGTGGCCAAGCAGGGCTTGGCATTTTTCCTGTCGGGCAAGCGTGCTCGGCATTTCCTGTCAGACAATCGTGTCTGGCATTTCCTGTCGGACGACCGTGTCCGGCATTTCCCGTCGGGTCATCAGGGTGCAAAAAGCATCCACCGCTGCTGCTGCCGGGCGAGGGTGCGCGTGGGCACCTGACTGCATCGCGGCCGGAGGAGGGCGCTTGGACGAGGCGTCACCGGCAACTGGGCGGCGAGCACAGCATACATCCCGACCACCTAACGGTGCCAAACGGTTGGGCTCTGGCATAACACCTTCGGGTGGAGCAGTTCTCTCGAGCGAGACTGCGCTTGCACTACCGCTCGACTGTTTCGTCATATTCCTTGGCGGGACAGTTCCTAAACCTTTCCTCCATTCCATTCCTGCACGACTCCATCCCTGGACGGCTCACCTCGGTAGGCCCCGTTCAGGATTGATAGGGCTGATAGGGCTGTTAGGGTGGTAGTAGGGTTGTAGGGTTGGGAGATAAAGGGGGGAGGGGTAGTGGTGTTAGGTTGGGGTGTAGAAGGGTTGTAGGTACGGGGTTGTAGGGACCGTAGGGACAGTTAGGGACCGTAGGCCAACAATCACCTTCCTGCAAGATGAAGAAGGCACAAGACCAGACAGGGAGAAGCGAAGGGAGCAGGACAAGGACAGGGCTCTCAAGAAAAGCTAAAGAAGCGGAATCATCTGGAGCGACCACAGCTACTGCGTCAAATGGAGCAACTCCTTCAAGTGGAGCCACCACAGACACGTCCACATGCACGTGGGACTCAGGGACGTCCATGGCAACGACGAGCAACAGGACGGACACCAGTGGTACACAGGCCAGCACCGCACAACAATCCGTTATATCCAGGAGTGAAACGGTGGTCGAAAAAGTAGGTCAAAGGACCGAAGAAGCGGCATCGTCAAGGACAGTAATCGGGCACACTAGTGATAAAGGGTCACAGAGAGGTAGTAGGTCATCGCGATCGGCGAGGCTGAAAGCCGAATTAGAGGCGCGGATTAAATTCGAACGCTCAGAGCTCGAACGAGCACAGGCAGCTGCTGCCTTAGCCAAGTCTCAATGGGAGTTGGCACGACTCAACCGAGAAGAGGAGATCGACTCGAGTGAGGATGGTGAAGAGCGGAATACTCAGGTGGAACCTTTCGTAAGGAGTTGGGTTCAGCAAACCATAATGAGCGCGCCGGTTAGTGTAGCACAACCCGATATTACTGATAAGGAAGCGTGTAAAGGATCACGCCGCAAAGGGGCGGAGGTCGAGCGCAACCTAGGAAATGCACAGAAAACACACGCGAGTGAGGTGTCAGAATTGACCGAAGCGATTGTAAGTGCAATAAAAATAGCTGGTAAAGATAAGTCTTCCCAGCTTCATTTCCTCCAGGAATTACCGGTGTTCGATGGAGACCCGGGTGAATGGATAATTTTCAAAACGGTGTTTGAAGACACAAAAGGCCAATTTTCAGGGGTGCAAAATGTCGCACGCCTTAGGAGGGCATTAAAGGGCACCGCTAAAGAGGCGGTTAAGTCGCTGTTATTTACTTTATGTGAACCTGAAGAAATAATGAACGCTCTCGAAAGAAGATTCGGTGGGGTTGAGATGCTCATTCTAGCCGAAATCGAGAATGTAAAGCGTATGCCAAGATTGGC